AATCCCGACGGCTCCTTTAATATTTTGGAATGGTGGAAGGACAAAGAAAAATACTTTCCGATTCTTTCAAGGATGGCCCGAGACGTTTTAACTATTCAAGCTTCAACAGTGGCATCAGAGAGCGCTTTCAGTCAAGCAAGACTTCAACTTGGTGATTATAGAGCGTCTATGAGGGAGAGCTTGGAAAAATCAATACTTTTCAGATATTGGATTCGTTCGGAAAGAAGAAATTTTGGACTTGCTGAATCACAACCAGAGGTAGACGAAGCTTGCGAAGAAATACTAGTTGAACTTGCGGAGGATACTGCTTCGCCCGGAAGCGGTGATGACCAAGCTTCTTTTCCGTCACTACCAACGGAAATTCCTCCGGACCTTGAAAGATTTATGAAATTTGTAAGAGATACCATGTAACTTATATGAACAAAAATTAATATTTAACTTGTATTTTGGCACATCTTGATTAGTTTCTTTTTCTTCTCAATGGTGGTATTGGCACCTTGTTGTGCTCATTTCATAGGGGGGAGGAAGACTAAGAAAGATATTGCCATGTTTTTTTAATGCTATAATAAAATTATAACGCATTACTTTGAATATCTCTTTAAAATATTTTTGTCTTTAAATTTGAATTAAAAAATTTAGGTCACAATTCTATAATATAATTTACAAGGAATTGCCTTAAATATTGTTATTACCATTTTTTTCTCTAACTTCTATAAAATAAATTAAAAAATAGAAAGTATCCATTGGGCCCACTTAGGCCCGGGCCCGGCCCACTTAACCCGGGATCGTTAGTTCGTGGTCCCGGTCCCGGGCCGGTTCCAACAAGAAGCCCGGGACCACTTAGGACCGGCCCACTTAGGACCGGGCCCACGAAGCTCACTTAGGACCGGACCCGGCCCACATGCCACCCTTAATTTGAGGTAAGTAAATTCTCTATTCTTTTGCATATTTGTATCTATATGATTGTGTATTAATCTTTGAATTGTATGTAATAAACGATGACATATCAAATTTTTGGTGTATTAGTTTCAAAGTGTTGTGATGATGAAGACAATATTTCTCTTCAAATATTTTATCCTATTTAGGATTATTTTTTTACTGAGAAACTTTATCAATTTATTAATTATTATAACTTATGATTATATCCTCATCATAAAATAAATTATATTTATCATAAAAATTATCTTATCTAATCACAATTGTATTTAAAATAAAATGACAAATAAAATATTTTGTATTTGAATCGATCTGCAATCTAAAATTTTAAAGAAATTATGCCATTATAAGTGTAAATAGTTCTAAGGTTATTCAGGTCATTTTAACAGAAAAAAGAGCTTATCGGCACATTTTTTATCAAATACTGCAGCAATTTATTATCAATTTCAGCGCTTGCATCCAAATACGTAACTACTTATTTGTTAAATCAGTTTCAGCACTTAAAAGTGCTTTTCAGCACCTAATGCTTATCAGCTACTTCAAATCAGCTAATCCAAACGGGGTCTAAGTCTTATTATATCACATAATTGGACTGTTCTATAAACAAAACAGTAAGAATAGTTTTGATGAAAACTCAAAGGGTTCATGTTGAAATTTTGTTGCTTTCAGTTACAGCAGTAACTTTTTTAACATGATAAGTTAGTTTTATGATAAATCTACTTTTTTTAATTTAAATTTCTATTAGATTTTTTAGGTTTGTTGAGATATTTTGGATTTTTTAAATTCTTCTTATGCAGATTTTTCTGCAGATTATGTTCCTAATTGGCTATTTAAAGCCTTGTTATGCTTAATAAGATTATTGAGAGACTTTTCAATCAACACTTTTAATATTTTGCTGCCCCATCTTTTAAAAAACCAACAATTCACATAGTTGGCTAACTTTAGCCCAGTTTTTTCTATGGTTCTAAGTTCAAGAGGAAGCCATTTTGGTATGGCACAAGTTATTTTCAGGAATATTTTCATGAGAAAATCATTTTCTGGTATTTGGTTACCTAACAATAATCACTTTAACTATATCTTAATCCTAAACTCAAGTTGGGTCGGCTATATGAACAATCATATCGCTCCGTTTAAGCTTATCTCAGATTCATCAACCAAATATGAGAAAATGTCTCAAAAAAACACATTTTTTATGAAAGTGACTTTTGTTGTACGAAACGCTCAAAGAACAGTATAATTAAATGTGGTGTTGAGGATATGAAGTTGCAAGATGCGACGTTAACCAATCTTAGGAAAAGGAAAGGGAACTACAACTAATTAAAGAACCAAGGCATCCACGAAAGAGAGTAAAAGACTGAATTACAATGATAGATTACTTGTTATAGGTGTACAAAGCTCGACTTTTCAAATTTGTCCATTTGCTTTTGCTGTAATCCCACCTGCTCTAGATTACCGAACATCGTACCTGTCGGCCAATCTGCTACAGTAGCAAATTTGTTGCTTTATAATTAATCAAGTTTAGATATCTTTATTTGTTAATGCTACAAAAGTTGATCAAAATTCGTCATCTACATTAGCCCAATTAGGCATGAGTGTTTAATACGACAAAACTTATTTATTCCAAACTTGCGCCAATAAACACAATGTTACTATCAATCTTTAATATTCAAAAATTTCATTCAAGCACTACGCAATTTAGTAATATTATTACTAAGTTAATAAAGTTTTTTTTCTAAAAAATATATTCACTACCAATCAAATATCAGAAAACATTTTTTAAAAACTATATTTTATTCATGACTTTTGTCATTCCAAATTCCTAAGTGTGCTTGAAGGGCCTAGAGATTGAGCAGGAGCACGGGCAAAACTCAAATTCGTCATTTTGAAACACCCTATGTATGTCACCACTTGGCAGGTATTTTTCTAATGGCTTTACTTGTCTATTAATCGAGTTTAGATATTTTTAACTTTTAAAAAAAGGCAAAAGGTAAACAAGGAGTCAAAATATTAATACATAGTTCTTGATCCTTTAAGTATTTCAGGGTACTTAACGGCTCTCAAAAAGTACATAATAGTCTCAACCATTTCTGTTGAGCTGATAAAAACTTCTCAAGACATGATGAAACAAAAAGATATACTATTAAATGAAAAGATTCATTAAAAGGGTATTACAATATTTAGGTACAGTATAGCGAAGGGTTGAAATGTATTAGCTCATTGCAAAGGTAAAAATTGCTTAGCAGCCCTTGCATTAGTAAGCATTCAGCCTGAAGAAAGGACAATCGGAGAACTGGAAATGTGGGATAGATGTGAAAGAATGGAGCTTGTACAGATAAGAATTAGAAGTACATGAAGCTTCGGCCTTTTTCTGTTTTATTCAGCATGCAAGTGAATTTGTAGAACCTGCAGTTTCTACTAGTAAGACCATATCTGCAGAAGATGGAGTTCATTTCCCAAAGATAAACTTTCTTGTTTGGGATGGCTATAAGGAGCTAACTTGTTGGAAGCAAATGAAACTTAAATCCAACAAGGCGCTCCCAGACATCGATATTGCCAGGTCACATGAATTTGTAAGCTTAAAAGGACCATTTGTTCCCGATCAAAATTCAGGACTAGGTTAATTACCAGCAGTCACTACAGCAACATTCCCCACCAACAAAGTATTGAAACCAGTTGCTGACTGTTGACAACAATATCACCCCTGGAAATCCCTCGAGGCAATTTATATTGCAACATTACCTTAGCAAGTGCATACCTTGATGTTTTTACTGTGCATATGAGAACCGTGCTATATCATTTAAAACGAAGAATTCAATTGCCAAGTTCTCAGCATGAAGTGAAAACTGCTAAATTTTCCTGTTCCTTGACTGGCAATACATAACAATCCATCTTGAACCTACACAGTATTCTTGAACATCAGCTGTTTCACATTGAAAACTAGTGCTAGCGAATGCGTCCATCGACCTCTATGGAACTGAGCCCAGGAACTTTCTTTACCCTCTTTGTCTCCATAAGGTTTCTGATGTGCCTAGCATCTTTCCACCGACCCATCTTAGCGTAGACATTGGAGAGAAGAACATAAGCAGCACTATTTGTGGGATCTAGCTTTATTATTTTGTTGAGTGCAACCTCACATGTTTCAATATCTCCACATATCCTGGCTCCACTGAGAAGCGCTCCCCAAATAAGCACATCTGGCTCCATAGGCATTGTATTCACAAGATTCCATGCTTCATTAATCAGACCAGCTCTTCCATAAAGGTCAATCATACAACCATAATGCTGAACCGAAGGAGAAATACCAAACTCTTTACTGATCCTCTCAAACATTTCCTTCCCTTGCCTCACCAATCCTCCATGCACACAAGCAGAAAGTACACCTAAGAATGTGATGTCATCAGGCCTTACTCCGTTATCAACCATATTTGAGAACAAACGGAGGCAATCTTCCCAGCGACCATGCATCGCGAGGCCTGAGATCATTGCACTCCAAGCCATTAAGTCTTTCTTTGGACCCAAATTTTCGAAAACTAATCTTGCCCTGACGATACTCCCACATTTAGCATACATTTCAATCAAAGAAGTTCCAAGTACAACATTAATATCCATCCCAAGTTTGTATACGTAAGCATGAGCCCATTTCCCATGTTCAAGTGAACCCAACTGCTCACATGCTGCAACCAAAATAGACATGGTGTACTCGTTAGGCGTAACTTTATTTTCCTCTTGCATCTGACTAAACAACACCAATGCTTCTTCACACTGACCCCACCTCACGTAACCATCCAACATACTACTCCAAGATATAACATTTCTACTTGGCATTTTATCAAACAATTCGCGCGCAACGCTTAGCAAACCAGCTTTGACATTCGCATTCATGATGGAATTCCACGAAGGTAAATCCGGTTGAGGCATTTCATCAAACACTCTTCGGGCAGAACCCACATTGCCGCAAGCGGTATACATACTAATTAGCGAAGTTTGGACAAATGGGTCGAATGAGAAACCAAAAAGAATAGACTGTGAATGAATTAATCGCCCCAATTGGAGATGTGAAGGAGAATGGACGGAGTGGAGGAGAAAAGGGAAGGTGTAGTAATCAAGTTGGACACCATGGAAGCGCATTCGGAGGAAGATGGAGAGCGGGGTGTGGGATTGGGTGGTAGGTGGATGAGTTCGTTGGACATGGGCTCTGATCAGAGTATTCCAAACGAAAGATTCAACAGTTGGATGTGAAAGATTGAGAGAAGGGTGCGTTAAAGATATGAGCTTTCTGGTCGACACCTGCATTTGGATTTTGGGACGTTCCGTGGCGGGAAGACAGTTATTAGAAGGACTTCAAATCTTCAATGATCAAGATCAACGGCACAACAAAAATTATTTTGAGAGTTTAAGTTCTGACAGGTACAAAATATTATTAATTAATTAATAGTTTTATAAAAATGATAACTAACCTGGCATAATAGGTTAATTACATAAGGGTGTCAAATGAGCGAGTTGGGCTAATTTGGGCGTGTCAAAATGAGTTGAGTCAATAAATGGGCGGGTCAAAAGTTACTCGAACTGAGATGGTCTGGATCAAGATGAGCTAAAATTTGAGTTATAGCCGAACCCGTCCAACTCTTACCAAGCTTTAATTAATATGTGTTATTTTTTTATTGTATAATTACTAAATACTACTGTTTTTCTTTTGTTATGGTCATATATAACATAGTATCAAACAAAAAAAATTATTTCTAAGATATTTTGACAAAGTTATTCATGGATCAATTTGGACAAAAAATTAGTCCAACTTTAAATGAGTTAAAGATAAGTGGATGTTGAGCGAAGATGGGTTGGGTTCAATAATTTGGGCGGGCCATTTAGGCTTGGCCGAATTTGACAGCCCTAATATATACTGTAAGTTAAGTTTTTGAATAGTTAGACTCCGTAATCTTGGTAATGTTCACAATCCGACTATCTATGAAACGCTCAGTGCTCTCTTAAAGAATAACTCAATGGTTCAGAACAATGTAGCACTTCTCTTATCAACTCTATACACAAAATAAATTGCTTACCATTTGTACCATATAGAAGCTCTATGGAACAGTATATCCTCATTTCCAGAGAATAGGAAATGTTTCTGCAAATGAATATAGGAAGGGAGGAGAGAGTATTTCTTCTATCTATTGAGATATATTAAACACACACAGAGACTTGTGGAAACTATGAGAGCAAATCTGTTTGCATTTAGACAGTCTCTAAATATTTGCAAGTTTCTCTAGAAATGTTTCTTTTCTATATATCTTCTGAGTAACGATTTGTGTTTGAATTTTAAGTTACAGGTATTTGTTTTAACCCAAAAGCCCTGAAGTTGTTTCTTAGTATGTTTTTCGAATTGATTTTGATTTGATCTCTCAAAAATGAAAACATTCTTATTTTCTTCACCTTAAGAAGATCATACTATTTCTTTTGAACTTTGTCTGAAAAATTAATCTTCCTCTAATCATTAGACTATAGTCACTTCTCTCCTCTTATACGAGGTTCTCAAGTCCAAAGAACAACCAATTCGTGTTTTCTATTAATCAGCAGTACGATTGGTCACCAACGATTTTGTTTTGCTCACTTTTAGACTACTTCTTTTATAATGAGTATAACTATATAGGAGCCCGGAACCTAAATGTGGTCTTTTTAGAATCAAATGACCGAAATGAGTGAAAAAAAACAACGGAAAAGATTCAAATATGCCCTTATACTATACGAAATTGAGCACATTTGCTCTTCGTTAATACTTTAGCTCAAATATGCCATTACCGTCACATAGTTGGTCCATATATGCCCTTAGAGTTACACAGTCGGCTCATATATGCCCTTTTCAAAACGGAATCCACCCAAACTAATTAACTCTTTCGTTAATTGTATTAAAGTATATTACAAACACTATTTCCTTTTTATTAGTACTTTTTTCTTTATCTTTCTCTTTTTTTTCTTCTTTTTTATTTTCTTCTCTTTTTTTTTTCCTTTTATTTTCTCCCTTATCCGATTTCCTCCATTATTGATGTATTCTCTATTTTCATCACCAATTTCACTTGACAAAACTCATAAATTCCAATTATTAAGAAAATTCTCCCATAAGAATACTTTTATAGATCTTACGTTTTTTAATTTTTTAATTTTTACTGAATATATATTTAGTTCTAAAAAATTTAACAAAGTAAGATTGAAATAATATTTATGTAACAAAAAATTCGAAAATCCAACAAAACCGAACAATCCAAACCGATATAATGGGTTTGGTTTGATTTTGATAAAAATCGAACCAACTTGTTCCATGTACACTCCTAATTTACATAGTTAATAAAAAAAATAAAAAATATCCAGCTGAAAAAAGATTAACAACTCAAATTTATAACACTACAACTTGAACTCTAGGGTTTTAATCATTAAATTATCTTTCTAGAAACAATTTAAATATTTTGGTCTTTTGAGTATTGTTAAAGGTTGAGATTTTTTTATATTATTTTAAAGTTTAAACCATAATTTTTGAAATAATTTTATTTCATTTATTTAGAGGGCCAGTGAAATTGGAACTTGATTACCTTATGGGAGAATTTTCTTAATAATTGAAATTCATGAGTTTTGTCAAGTGAAATTGGTGACGAAAATGGAGAAGACATCAGTAATGGAGGAAACGGATAAGGGAGAAAGAAAAAGGAAAAAAAAGAGAAGAAAAGAAAAAAGAAGAAAGAAAAGAGAAAGGTAAAGAAAAAAAATAATAATACAAAGAAAATAGTATTTGTAATACACTTTAATACAATTAACGAAAGAGCTAATTAGTTTGGATGTATTCCATTTCGAAAAGGGCATATATGAGCCAACTGTGTAACTCTAAGGGCATATATGGACCAACTATGTGACGGTAAGGGCATATTTGAACTAAAGTATTAACGAAGGGCAAATGTGCTCAATTTCCTATAGTACAAGGGCAAATGTGACCAAACTATATATAGCTCCCTTTAAAAGGGCGCTATACATGAAGTTGATTAGACTAGCAGGTATAACGCAGTTTATTAAGGCGCTATATGTATAGCGCCTTTATAAACTGCGCTATACCCCTTCAAATATTCGTCCCTCCCCCCGTTACAGAACCAAAACAAGCCCCCCTCCCCCATTTTAAAAATCAAACCAGCGGTCCCCCCCATTAACGACCCAAAAAAACTTGAGTGGACCCCACCCGTCCCACAAAAAGTAAAGATTATTTGTCTCACATCCTAGCTAAGCCTTCTCTTATTGTGGGTTGCTCGTTTCGGATTCAAATCTTCATCTTTCCAAAAAATATAAATCGAGGTATTTCGATTTAGTTTTTGTCGAAACTAGTATAAAAACTACATATTAGTTATTTTAAATGTGTTCTATGTTGTTTTGTGTTTTGTTTTGCGATTAAACTGGTATGTTATTTTTATCCGGACTAAGATATTAGTGTGCTAAAAAAATATGTAAAAATTGAGATATCATTATTATTTGTTCAAAAAAATGTTAATAAGTTACTTTTTACTGTTTTATATATATTTTCTTGAATGTTTTGTGATTAAATATATTTGTTGTTTTTATCTGGTTTAGATTATTTATTTACTTAAAGACTAGTAATATAATGCCCTTTTAGCGTAGTAAAATGTAGTGCCTTTTAGCATAGTATCCTTATAGATATTGAAATTAATCATTTAAGTAGTACGAAACACACATAACGTAGTATTTAACCGTGCTATGCTTCGCATGTTAAAGATTCTTTCGGGTACAATACAGCTTTTGTAAGCGGGCAGCTTTTCAGGTTGACAAGACAACACACATAACGTAGTATTTAACCACGCTATCCTATTACATACGGGACTATATATNTCCTCCTCCGACAGTGTAGTTTTTTAATAATTTTAGATTGAAATTCACGTAATAAGTTTGGTTTTTTAATCCAATACTATTTTTGATAACATGAACGAGAGGGAGAAATTCATTAATTTACTCCACTGATAATGTTAAATATCAATAATATTTAACAACAATGGAAACATAATTTTATTTGATACATTTTGCAACATAAAGAAGTACATACACTTATTATAACCACATTACGGAAACAAAACACTACGTGTATCCTTGATAGTCGGGCACATTAGATGAATTTCCACCAGGAGCTGGATTACCACCGCCACCCAAACCAGCTGAAGGACATTTACGATGGTCGTATCCTGTTTGCGAGCATATGCCACATTTGCGCGCATAAACGGCATCACCAACATCCATTTGGTTCCGTATACGCGTTCTTTTTTGCACTTGTCGCTGATGCAAAAACTCCTTGTTACACACCATTTTAAATGATTCCGGCGGCCAATAATGCTCAGCACCCACTTGTTGCAACTGCCCACTATAGGTGTTTAAGTATGTAGCAACACTATATTGTTTATCAACGTAGTTGGTTGGCCCTAAACCTGTATGTTGAAAGTACTTGATGGTATGTGAGCATGGCATGTGGTAGATGGACCGTTTCCCACAAGAGCATAACCTTCTAGATTCATTTATGGTGTGTACACTATTCCCCCAATTTTGATGGATAGCGATGCGAACTTCAAAAATATTTCGGTCGTGATCATATTGTAAAAATGAATGCCAATGTGCTCGCCGCGTGTATTTCTCAAATATTTTCATTGGTTGTGACATAAATTCAACACCTATTTCCATCAATGACGTTGCAGCTGCAGCCCTTTCAACATACCTCTCCGTCATCTGCTTGAATGTCATTCGCACCATGGCAGTGACAGGCAATCCTCGTGCAGACTTCAATAACTCGTTGAAAGACTCTGACACATTTGTAGTCAGAATTCTCCATCTTCTGTCACCATCCGCATGCAAAGTCCACTTTTCAGGCTTATGTCGTATCAACCAACGATAGGCTGCTTCGTCTTCCTGCCTGATAGATTCCATGTGCCTCCGAAATTTATGCTCTTGGTGATCTGTTGCAGCCATCCATATTAAATCATGCAAATCCTTGTTGGGATGTGCCTTCTGAAAATTGGCCTTCAGGTGCCTCACACAGTAACGGTGGTAGGCATATGGTTCTTGCCATGCAGGCAAATTCTCTAAAGAACTTATAATACCACCATGTCGATCAGATATTAGACAAATACCTGAACGCTATTTGGTAACGTGATCTTTCAAGTGGTTCAAAAATAGTGTCCACGTCTCTTGGCTTTCATTGGCACAAATAGCAAAAGCTAAAGGAAATATACTTCCATTAACATCTACTGCAACGGCGATCAACAGCTTAATATCATACTTTCCATAGACATGAGTGCCGTCTATGGATATTACCGACCAGCAATGCAGAAAACCATCAATTT